GCAGCTTCCTCCCCAGGAGAGGAGTTCACAGTGTGGTTGGCACATCTGCCTGCCGTCCCTGAAGGCAAGAACTTGATGAGGTGCAGGGCCTTGCTGGCCTGGGGAGGAGGTAGCTCCAGAGGTGGGTTGTGGCAAGGGCCAGAGAAGTGACAAGAATCAGATCTCTGACTGTCTTTCTGACTATGACCTGTTGTCTTTGCAGACCTGTGACCGTATCAAGCAGTCAGCAGCAGGTACCAAACGTCGAGTGTTTATCATTGAAACTATGGGTGGCTACTGTGGCTACCTGGCCACCATGGCAGGACTGGCAGCTGGGGCTGATGCGGCCTACATTTTTGAGGAGCCCTTCACCATTCGAGACCTGCAGGTAGATGGCTACCCAGAGCCTGCTAGGTAGCTCTTCCCTGCCCTTGTCTGTCCCCACTGTCCCCACAGTGACCTCAGCTCAAGATGAGGACAGAGCCAGTTGGTCTGTGGAGTCCTGCGAGGAGACTAGACAGAGCACGGAGCAGGCATCCCTCACGTGACCTCGCATGCATGACCGCAGCTCCTCTGTTGGAGTGTTCACTCAGAGGGACAGCATGCTGCTAAGCCCTTTCCATGCGCTTTTGCATTTTATCTTCACAACAGACATGCAGGGGAGATATTATTTCCAAATTACAGATGAGAAAGGTTTGGAGAGGTTAAAAAACTTTTCTAAACTCCTAAGTGCGTAGGTGGTTTAACTGACTGAGAAGGTTGGTGATCTTTCTACTGTATCACGCTGCCCTCCAGATTTCCCTGCTAGCAAAGCAGACCCTTCTCATTCCATTTTTGAGGGGGATACCCTTTCACCTCCGGGTGGGGCTCTGACTCCTGTTTCACAGGGGGACCATCTGATCCTTGTTTTCTAAGATCCCAGTTAACTGGAGGAAAAAGAGCCACAAAGTGAGGCAGGTTGAGGGGACTCCCTAATCCAAGAACCCGGCCAACCCCTGCCAAGAGTGGAGGGTGGGTGTCTTCCTCCCTCATCCCCAGCTCAAAGCCCAAATGAAGGGGCTGGTTCCTCCCAGGTGATTCACTGCTCTACATACAAGCCACCCATTTAAAGATCGACACTGAAAACAGAGTCAGCCCTCTGAGGGAGGAGGAACCAGAAACCCCTGGAAAGGGAAATCGAGAGCAGGTAGAAAGGGGCTGAACAATGACAGTTACCGCAGATGTCTCGAACTTTCCCTCTTCCAGTTCTGCCTGCCTCATTTGGAGCCTTCATTTAAATTTCAGTCTGTTCTGAACTTCATAAAGGGATTCGGCACAGTTCAGGCCCTTGACTGTAAACAACCCCCCTCCATGTGGCTCTCCCCTCCTGGAGAGGCCTAGGGGCAAGAAGAGATCTATGCACTTGCCCGACCTTATCCGCTCCCAGCTAGGCTTAGGATTTACTGTTTCATTTTCAGGTGAATGTTGAACATCTGGTGCAAAAGATGAAAACAACTGTGAAAAGGGGCTTGGTGTTAAGGTACCTCATGCACGGTTTGTTCCTAAGTAAAGAGAGAAAGTAGTCAGGGTTGGCCCTAGGCCACAGAATGGGCCCATGGTTGGGACACCCTGAGGAATCTGTGGATACAGAGGGAGAGAACCAGAACCACGGGAGGAGACAGAAAAGGGAAGAACAAAATCCACAAAGGCAGAAAGGGGGTGGAGGGATAGGCAGACAGCCGAAGTCACAGGCTTTTGGTCTCTACCTGGCAGGAATGAGAAGTGCAATGACAACTATACCACTGACTTCATTTTCAACCTGTACTCTGAGGAGGGCAAGGGCATCTTCGACAGCAGGAAGAATGTGCTTGGCCACATGCAGCAGGTAGGGATGACACCCCGGTCCTGGCCTTCACCAGGCGGCCGTGACCCCCAACAGCCATTGAGGCTCCCACTGGCCTCCAGTCTGCTGGGGGCTCTCAGTGCCGCCACAGAGCATGGGCCTGCAATCTTCTAGTCATAGAATCACATCTTTACCCTGGAAGTGGCCTTAGAGTTGATGTGGTCCATCCTCTTCATTTAGGGCAAGGTTTCTCAACCTCAGCACTATTGCCATTTTCGGCTGGATAATTCGTTGTTGTGGGTGGCTGTTCTGTGCACTGTGGGATGGTTTAGCAGCATCCCTGGACTCTACCCACTAGATACCAGTAGCACTTCCCTCCTGAATTATACAAGTAAAAAGTATCTCCAGATATTGCCAAATATCCCCTGGGGGGCAAAATCGTCACTAGTTGAGAACTACTGATTCAGATGGAGAAAATGAGGCCCAGAGAGAAATAATTTTTTCAGGGACACTCATCGAGCTTGGGTGACAGGTAGAATGAGCTTGTCCAATGCTCTTCCCACCACACCATGCATGCTGCCTTTCATGAGGAACCTGTGGAATGAGTACAGCCTCCTTGCTCGTGTTGGGCTCCATCTCCACTAACTGGGGTTTCCAGGGGAAAGGAATTCCTTTCTACCACCCGCATTCAATCCTCACCCAAGTTAGGCCTCACTCACAGATGGTACTAGTGGTCTGAGGCCTCTTGTATTCCAGATGTCTCCAGCTGATGCTTCTTAGGCATTGACAGCCTTTGACCTTTCTCTCCCCACAAATGAATTTCCAATATCTCAGTCTGAATGAGCTTATCAGCCCCTGCAGGAATGGGGTACTACTGGATCAAGTATGAAGACCTATTTCCTGTTTGTCCTTACTTCCCACTTTCCCACTTACTTTCGCTTAGTTCAGAGAAAATCTGCATGACATTTTATATTATTCTGAGGTGCTACCAGGGGCTTCCAGACTGGGTCACAAGGAACATTTCCATGTCATCAGTGATGGTGACTGACAAAAGCTGCTAGGCTGAAGAGGGGCCACTGACTGAGTGGCCAGTAAGACTAGAAGTAAATGAACAGGATCTGGCAACTATGGAGCTAGAAGAGGCACTTGTGAGACCAATCATCCCCTTTAACTAATTAGTTACTCTTGTACCTGATAAATGGCCAAATATGCTGGGCCAGCTCACCATGGTTCCTGGCCCTGTTTCAGGATTTCCCTTAATAGTTAGACTTCTGGATTCCTGTTTCTGGCTGTAAACCAGGGGCCCATTCTTTCCTTTTGTTCTGTGTATTCAGATATCTCTGCTACTTCATTAGAGTCCTTCCCTCTGTAATGTTTTTTTTTTTTTGATGAGGAAGATTGACCCTGAGCTAACATCTGTGCCAATCTTCCTCTATTTTGTATGTGGGACGCTGCCACAGCATGGCTTCATGAGCAGTGTATAGGTCTGCATCTGGGAGCCAAACCCCAGGCCGTCAAAGCAGAGTGCACGAACTTAAACCACTACACCACTAGGCCAGCCCCTTCCCTCTGTAATTTTTATGATTCTTTTCCCAGGGTGGGAGCCCAACTCCATTTGACAGGAATTTTGCCACTAAGATGGGCGCCAAGGCTATGAACTGGATGTCTGGGAAAATCAAAGAGAGTTACCGTAATGGTAGGTGGGGTAAGAGGGTGAGCCCTTCCATAGAGGCCGGTTCCCCAGTATAGAAGCTGATTGACCATTCCTTATTGCAGGGCGGATCTTTGCCAATTCCCCAGACTCAGGCTGTGTTCTGGGGATGCGTAAGAGGGCCCTGGTCTTTCAGCCAGTGACTGAGCTGAAGGAACAGACAGATTTCGAGTGAGTACATCTTCTTCCTGGAGTGGTTTCCTCCCTGGTCATTTCAAGACCTACTCTTCCCATCCTGTTCACTGTCTTCTCTTAGGAGTAACACCTGTAGTCATACCTACTTCAGATCTGATGCCCATGCCCTAAATCTAGCCTCTTCTGCTCAACTTCTTCCCATAAGCCTATGATTGGGATGCTGAAAGATTAAATCATTTCTGCCTCATTCCTCTGTAGGCACCGCATCCCCAAGGAACAGTGGTGGCTGAAGCTGAGGCCCATCCTCAAGATCCTAGCCAAGTATGAGATTGACTTGGATACGTCAGAGCATGCACACCTGGAGCACATTAGTCGGAAGCGGTCTGGAGAAGCTCCCGCTTAAACCTCTTTGGAGTGGGGGGAACAGATTGTCTGATCATGGTCAGCTAACCCCCTGATAGATCCGAGTCCATGTACTCTCAAGTGTTTTAGCACATTTTTCATTAGGTTTCCTTTTATTCTGTAACTGCAGCCACGATCAGCTCTGGCCAGGGAGCTGGGGCAGGGGGTAGTGAGTGGAAGCTCCTTTTAGGTAGAATTTATCATGACTTCTACCCCAGCTTCCTCACACAAGGCTGGGGTCCTCTAGTGCTACTGCTAGATTTCAGTTACTCGGTTAGAATTTTCCTAAAAATAAGCTTTATTTATTTCTTTGTGATAACAAAGTCTTGGTTCCTCCACTACTTTTACTACAGTGACAAACAGTAACTACACTAATAAATGCCAACTGGTCACTGTGCCTTTGGTCATCCTGTTATCATCTTCACAAGTGGAATGTAATACCCAAGCACCAGACTCTGCCCCAACACACACCTGGGAAAATGCAGCCCATGTGACCACCCCGTGTACTTCCCTCTACCTCATGGATTATTTTTCTGCAGCATCACTTGACCCCGTACACAGGGTCCTAGAACACAGTACGCTGGTCCTTTTACCCTCCTCTCACACGACTCTCTCCTCTGTCACCTCATCCTCTGCCACCAATAGGACGCTCCACTCTCCCTTTGGCATAAAGTTGTATTTTACCTCTTGATCATATACCCATTACCCAGGGTTGCTTTTTTCCAGTCATCCCATGATCTCTACTCCTCCTCTGACAACCCAGAGTTCTTCCTTCTCAACTTTCCCCCTGTATTCCTTCCTGGATGAAAGCCAGACTCCATTTGTGGGGAGACATGTACATTTTGAAAGCCTGGGAAATAGAGACACTCACTCTTGGACTTGGTTTGGTGGGTTGGTTGAACTACTGCTTTGGGAAGTTCTTAGTTCTTATTCAGCTCAATTTGTTTTCTATTCCATAACAATAGCTCCTTCCTCCTCATTAGCCAAGTGCCCATGTAAGGCAGTTGGTTTTCAGGACTGGGACTACAGATTATACCCCAAATTGACAGGATGGTGCCCTGTGAATGCCAGGTTTAAGATTAGCTTCCAATAACCAGATCCTGGCTCCCAGCACAGGCATACGTATTCCTTCCCACCCAGTTTCCCCACTTGCTTGATGAAGCAGCAGAGGTTCAAGGTTTACGAGGTGTGGGGGGGGATTATCTCTAGTACAGCACTTGTGCTGGCTCTCCAAAGTATTCCTGCTGTACCCCGACAAGTTCTAAATAGTGACTGAGAAGGCTTGTCAGAGTCTGGAATTAAAGCAGCCAAATGCTCTTTGTACAGTTCTTTAAGAGGAAGGGAAATTAATAATAATAATGTCAAGCACTGTTATCACTGAATCCTCAACACAACCTATGATGGGGGTGGTGCAAACCCCATTTCAGAGTTGAGGACACTGGGGCTCAGGGTGATTAAATAATGTGGAGAAAGTAGGAACAGTAGAAACTGCCAGACTTACTTTTAGAACTGTTTATTTCTTTTTTTCTTAAGTGAGCAAAAAACACCAACAGCAAAAGGACAAAAGCAGACATACTTTTTCAAATTAGCTGTGTCAGCAGATTCCGTTCATTTTTATGTGTAGTTCCCAATCAGTTTAAAAAAAAGTTTTTCAAATTTGCATACAGGTCATCTAAGATCAATAATAATTTGATCTAGTTTAGGAACATGAAAAGGAAGGGTATTGTTGACTATTGTTCACTAAAACAGATCCTTTTGGAGTAGGTGAGCCATCTAAAAAGCTCTTACGACGCTCTTTCCCTACTCCCCAACTCCACCAATGTCTTGTATAGATCAGTCAAAAGCAAAGGTTCCAAAACAATGGAAAGAAAAATAACTCCAAACTCTTAGCAGAGTGAGCTTGTTATAGGGAATGAAGAAGACCCACGGAAAAAGGCAGCCCAGCCCATCTCCTCTCCTAGAGCAGACACCTCCGCCTACGGTTCCGGAAATGCCTGCGAAGCCATTAGAGCAAACTGGCTTTCTGGAAGAGAGAGAACTGCACTAGAAGAAGAGTTCTAAGGACTGCTTAGAACCTGCTATCTCGTCTACTGTGTGGAAAACAGCAAGACAACCTTTCTGAAATGACATTGCTGCACTACTGTAACCCTTGGGCACACCCATGGAAAAGAGGCAAAGGCTGCTGTTTTCTTTGATGATGAAAAGGGGGGCCAGTCCCTTCTGAACACCCCATGATGTGGCCCTCTAGGGCTATCTTGCAGCCCCAATTCTGAATCTGCACACCATTTGATGTTGTAGTATCTTCATCTTTGGGCCACAATTGTTAGCTGGAATTTTCTTAAACTTCTTCACAGATCAACTAAAATGCTTCTAGAAGGATTCTTCTGAAACATTAATCATGTCCCCAAAGGAAAACCAAACACACACTCTTTAAATACTCTTCATCTTCCTAGAGAAATTTAGTTGCACTGTTGACTTTTTCCCTAAAGGGGAGGGTGGGGGAGACCTCTTCTTTTGCAGGGTACAATATAAAAAGCCATGAAAGCAATAAACAGAAAACACAAGTGAGGGATTTTTCTTTTGTTTGGTTGCTTGGTTTGGGGAGGGGAGGTGATGTAGAAGTTACTGTTGTGAGACATTGCCTCGAAATATAAACCACACAACAGGAACAACAGCTTTTCCTGTTTTCTAAGACAAAGACAGTGTTGCAGGGAAAAATCTCACCCAGAGTTCTCTGCGTGATGGTGCAAATGTCTCCTCCAGGCTATTCTACAAGTAACAGGTATTCCTTCAGAGAAGCTGGCAGTGGAAGGCCCTTCACTGCATCTGGCAGATACTGGAGTCCCAGGCTACGGCGCACAGCATAGCGAGAGAGAGTTTTTAGAGTTCCTGGGGCTGAGCACAGAACAGTCAGTTTTTCACATAGCTGCTGGTCTTTGGCCACTTCTCGTGGCATGGTACCATTTTTCCTTAATTCAAAGTGTCCAACAGCTCTGTGGAGAAGCTCAAAGCAAGAGTCCTCTTTCTCAGTTCCAAGTCCCCTGACTAGCAGAGCCACCAGGCGGGAGATGGGTGTCTGGCCTTTTAGGTTGATGACTCTGACCTCTGCACCATAATCAAGAAGGATGCTCACACTCTCAAGATTTCCCTTCATGGCAGCCCAACTGAGTGGGGTATCATTGTTGTAATCCAGGGCATTGACAGAGGCCCCACTTTCTAGGAGGGCCCGCACACACTCAGCATTGTTCTTAAAGGCTGCCCAGTGAAGTGGGGTGTCTCGGTTGCCATCCAGTGCATTGGGGTTTGCACCATACTCCAACAGGACCTCCACACAAGCCTCATCTTTCTCAGCTGCATAGTGGAGGGCCGTTCGGTTGTAACCATCCAGGGCATTCACCTGTAAAGAGAGAGGAACTATATTATAGTAGACAGAGTATTCGGAGGAAGACAGGTGGGCAAAGAAGCTTGCATGTGTTTATCTACTACCTTTGCTATGTAATGTTCTGAACAAGAGGGTCAACATGCACTTCCCAGGGAGTCTTGGTGGTCAAGAGGGAGACATGACAGGAGCTTAGCAAATAGGAAAAGAATTGTCCCCCAAACAATGAACACTCTATTATGTGCGTTGATTAGCTGGCCTGCCTTATTTTGATTTTTGCTGCTATGTTCTTATTTACTATTCACTAGAATCTCTACCATGGAGTAAGGGGTAAAGAAAGAGAAGATGAAGACTAAGTCCTTGTAACTAGTCTGAAAGACATTTATTGGAAAGCAGCTTGAATTTACTAGCTGGAGTAAAGGTTTTGGAATATGTTACTTACTCCGACTCACTCTATCCTGTGGCTAATGACAACCAGACTGAAAAATAGTCAGGCCAGACTGTGCCCATGTAGCTTTGCTGTGTTCTTTATCCATGTAGAGAAGCTCAAATTGTTAATCCAAGTCAGCCCCTTGCAAAAATATGCTATGGGGTCACAAGAGAACCTGGATGAAAGCATGTAGAGGAAAGAGCACAAATCTGCCAGTGCTGGAAAAGCAGCAGCTTGCTAAAAATCAGCATCACCCATAGGTTTTGAAGGCTACAAAGACTTCAAACCCAAATTTATAAATAGCATTATCTTCCCCCATAAAATGCAATAAAGAAAAACTGATTTAACTGAGTTTAACCTTCTATTTAGCTAAAAACTTTTTTTTTTCCAGGATATTTTCACTTTCATCACTGGCATTAATCACTGGCTTTCATTTCAGGGTCACTCACAAAAGTTATGAAATAGATAATGACAAGTAGAGAATAACATGGCTCTGCGGAGATGAGGATGCTGGGGCTGGCCCCTTAGGCTTACTGACCAGTGTGTCTGGGACCTGCACGCCATCTTCATGGCATGTCTGATTCAAATAGCACCTCAGCATATGCACCTTCAAGATTGCTCACAAATAGTCAAAACTGCTAATTTATTTAACAAGCACTTACTTAGCAATTATTACATGCCAGTGTTCTAAACACTTTACAACCTGATGAAGAAGATACTATTATCATCACCACTTTACAGATGGGGAAACTGAGGCAAAGAAAGGTTAAGTAACTTGTTCAAGGCCACATAGCTGGAAGTAACAGAGCTGAAATTTAAATCCATGAAGTCTGACTCCAGAGTCTATTCTTTTAAAGATTCATTATATTCTCCTGCTTCTTGCTAATGCCAACATAAATTAATCTATGCTTTTTATGTTAAGATACTCACATTAGAAAGAAGACAGGAACAACATATTCTAAAACAGAAAATAATTAGTGGGCAGAAATAGCACAAGTAACCGATTCCTGAGGAAGGGATTGTCTAATGATATTTATCTCCCAGTGACAGTGGTATTAAAAGTGCACGTCTCACAGCAGGTCTCAAATGGTTTAGATTTAATCAGAGTTGAGGAGCCTCTGCACTTACAGCTCCTGGACAGTCAACAGGCAATGAGAGGATTAAATGGAAATAAAAACAACCCAAGAAGGAAGGCTGGGAGAGAAAGGGGAGATAAAATTCCCTCTTCCTGGAGCCATGGACAGCTTAAGAAAGAAAGCAAAGGAATGAAATCCTTAGGATCATTTTATATATTTATGATTACATTTTGCTTTAATATTGGCTATGCCAATGCTACCATGAGCCAGAAAGTGGGAAGAGATGGGAGAAGAGACAAGAAATTTTAAGAAAATGTGAAGCTCAAGTTTTAGTAAATCATTAATGTGACAGTGTTAAAAACATTACCTCAGCTCCTTTTTCCAGGAGTAACTCCACACAGTCGGCATCCGACACCATGCAGGCACAGTGCAGGGGCTTCAGTGTGCCGTGGGTACAGTTCACATCTGCTCCCTATGGGCAGAGGAAACTTCAATCAGTGTGCTCACCGAGCAGGATGAGACTCAGAACTGAGTCCGGGGGGGAAGAGGGTCTAACTCTGACCATACTGTAAACATACTACTGGTCCCAGTTTCTATCCCTATTACAGTCATGTGCTGCATAATGACGTTTTGGTCAACAATGGACCGCATTCACGATGGTGGTCCCATAAGATCAGTACCATATAGTCTAGGTGTGTAGCAGGGTATAGCAATAGGTTTGTGTAAGTACACCTATGATGTTTGCACAACGACAAAATTGCCTAACAACACGTTTCTCAGAACATATCCCCATCATTAAGCAATGCATGACTGTAATTAAATAATATTATAATGCTAATATCCAAATCAAGAGAATACGCTGAAGATGAATGAAAGGAATTGTCAATTCCTTAGATCAAGTTATTAAGTTTCTCCACAAGGTAGCCTTCAAGATTGTCATTTGGACATCACTGGGGATATAACCTTATGTGTAAAAGCAGTGGGAACCTTATCATCAGGCAGGAAAGCTGGAAAAGCAAGCCACTTTCTATGGCCACCATGCTCTGAAAAAGTCAGGAAAGTGAGTCTGTCAGACTGAAGCCAGGAGACTGGCATGTTCTTTCTGCCATTCAACAGATGACTGTCACTAATAGTAAGGTCATCTTAACACTATCTTTTTGTTTACAAACATCTTCAAAGTAGCCTCATGGTATCAGCATTCCCTGCCACGTAGCCCCTGCTGGTACTTCTGTCTCTAATATGATAAAGGAGATGGAGATACCACAGTCAGACCAAAGTCACTGGATGACTCAGCAGCAGAGCTAGAATTAGAACGTGACAAAGTTTCTACTGCTGAGTCTTCTGATACCACTTCTGCTGAGAACAAGCTAATGCTGTATGACTTTCTTCTCACACCTGTTCCATACAACTCTGAAGCAGCTACAGAGCTCCAGGCTGTAAATAAGGATTCTATAAGTTGTTAAAAAGAATGCACAGAAGTAACCATCTGGATGCATTTTGCAGTGATCAAAAAATTACCCTGTAACTTCTCTTCAACAGGAATAATATACAGAAAAAGGTATCAAAGACCTTCTAGGATACTAGTCATGTAACAGAATTACTGAATAGCAGTGATTAGGTAGCAGATAGTTAAGGTGTTTTCTTAAGTCAGAAGTTACCATGCATTTTAGGGGTTGATAATCTCTCCAGAACTAGAAGTGGCAACTGTTGTTAAGACAGAAGGCAAGTGATAGCTCTCTAGGTAATTATCATAAACCACAAGGATTTGAAAACCACTTCTGCTTTGCTCGCCTCCCTCCTCCCTCTGTACCACATATGTAGAAGACTTTGAGCTTGCTGGATCCCATATGTACCATATCCAAACAGAGATTTTACAAAGAACATGAGACCAGGGTTATCTAGAACATATTTCCTGAAGAAAATATCAGATGCACAAAGCGAAAGGGAGAGGGGAAGAGAAGCAAAACACAGGGAAAATATATTGTAATGGTCAAGTTAATACATTTAAGAAGATTGTAAAAACTCTTTGTGATCTTGTGCTGAGTCAAAGCCGCAAATCTGTAATCTATTAGGATTCCCCAGGAACCTTCCCACTTAACCTCCCAAAGGACTCTTGTGTCAATAACAGCACACTCACCCCTCTGATGAGGTCCTCTACATTATCATGTGGGAAGGACCGAATGGCAGCGATTGTTCGGATTAAGCGCTCTGAGAGAGAGTATTTGCTCTGAATGCTCTGCATAATATACCACATACTGGAACTCATCAAGGCTCAGAGTATGTTCACATGCTCCAAACTGCCTGAAACGAAGAAGTTTTAGGCATACACAAGATCACTGGGCATACATGTCCTTAGAGTTAGGAGTTCTCTGAGGCCTTCCCAATACTAAAAGCAGATTTCAAAGAGATCAGTGATTAATGAACATCATTTTTTCTTAATCATAAGGAAATAGATTATAATAGTTGCTTAGGGAGCTGGGTAAACCTGGACACAAATGCTCTGACCCTCGGAACCTCAATTCTACTCTCTGACCTGGTCTAGCACAAGATTTCCCCAAGAGGCCCAAAGACCCCCCAAGGAACTCTGTGGTTTCAGAACAAAACTAGGCAAGGAAGGGGAGTTTTTAAGGCTGAAGGTGCCATGAAACACTCTTTTCCTCCTCTCAATTTTGTGGTCTTTATTATCAGCACCACCTTTAGGTTACTTGTTACATTTGGCCTTGCACTATAGTTATGTTCATATTGTTTCTCCGTTTAAATTGTAATCATTTGGAAGGCAAGGCCCTTGTCTTCTACTTTTTTGCCCATGTAAGGACAGCCACAGAGTCTCACAAAAAGTAGGTATTTAATAAATATTGGTTGATTGACTAAAGGGTATGGAAGTGATTGTTACCTGTGAGAAGAGAGGGAAAAGGCTATGGAACAAATACATCTATGTTAATAATCACAAGACATCTGTGAAATAGTTTTAAATGTCTTCAGCAAAGAAAGAATGGGAACTATTTGAGGTAATATTCTAAAATGAGGAAGGAACGCACAAGTATAATTACTCTGGAGCCATCTATATAAAATTAGAAAAAAAATTAAAAGTTCACGCCAATGACATATGCTTGCAATTGTAGGAAAACAAGCAGATTTAAGAGTGCAAAATGAATTAAAAATTTCAATAACTGGCTGTTTGTGACAACTGAGAAATAGATTTCGGCAAATATATGTTGAAACTACAACAAGAGAGTTCTAGGATGGAAGAAGAAAATAATGCAGTATATTTAATTCAACTATGATAAAACTTTTGACTGTATAAGAGCAATATACTAGTTGGAGAACATTTAAAATTACAGCAAACAAGGCAGAGCATTTCTATGAAAAATCATATATCAAAAACTTTAGAGAAAATGTAGCATGCAGTATCAGCTCTCTAGGTGTAACTGTTTAGGAATTCCTGTTCGTACTAAACTATAAGCTCCTTGGGCGCAAATATAGTGTCATTTTCAATAGTGCCTGGCACATGGCAGGTTCTCAATAAATATCTGTTGAACCAATGTAAAGCTTATTACTTTGGATCCTAAAAAATTCAAGACTTGTCGCAATTAAACATGTTACGCATATGATGATTACTAAGAGAAAAATCCTAAAATTATTTTGGTCATTTCATACTATGCAATTTTTGCTTTTTGTGATGGAGTGTCTCCTTATACATTATGTAATATACCATAAACTCTAATAGTTTCTATTTTGCTAATCAGTAGACATTTATCTGTTTAAAATGTATACAGTACTAATTAATAGAAAGCAAGTTAAAAATATTCAATTCATAGGTATCAATGATTCAGATTGGGTATCCTTTTCCCCTACTTTATTTATTTATTTTTTTTTTAAAGATTTTATTTATTTATTTTTCCCCCCACAGCCCCAGTAGATAGTTGTGTGTCATAGCTGCACATCCTTCTAGTTGCTGTATGTGGGACGCGGCCTCAGCATGGCCGGAGAAGCAGCGCGTCGGTGGGAGCCCGGGATCCAAACCCGGGCCGCCAGCAGTGGAGCGCGCTCACTCAACCACCAAGCCACGGGGCCGGCCCAGCCCCTACATTATTATGAATGAATAAGCTTATACATTTGTTTATATGTCTCTTTGAAATTTTCTAGATAGTTTAGACTTGGCATATGTTTTAATCTCTCCAGCAGCCACTAAACTCCTCAGAGACAAGGGTCTGCATCTTATACTTCTTTGTTGCAAGGAAAAAGGGAAAAAAGGCAGAACTGCATTTGAGTCAGCGATTCCAAGAATGGGGGCAGCAGACAGAGCCTCTCAAGTGGAAGGCTTAGACCAAAGTGGTGCTGTAAACCGTTTCTGGGCCATGGTAATCAGAAGAAACGAAACCCTGCAATCATGTTCGGGGCACTCTTGGACTCCCGGCTAGGAACTCCTAACTCAGAATATGACCAGTGGTCCTCTGCTGCTGCCTCGAAGCTCCTGGTGAAGAGTGAAACTTCGAGGCACAATGACAACACTCTGGAAGGGTCAACACTGTCAGGAAGGGTCAAGGAAATCTAAACTCGACCTATCTCTGGACGGTAGCCCGTGCACGGTTTGACCCCAAGTGGCCCCTTTCGTCTGCTGGAGCTGAAAGCCCTCTCTCCCCCGTTTTCTTTCACTTCGATCCAGAGAAAACACCAAGGGATTTTTATCGCGAAGCTAAAAGCAAACGGGAAAGAGGCGACATTCAACCGCTCCGGTGCTAGCGAGGCCCCGGTTCCCGCCCGGGCGAGGAGACTCTCGGGCAGCCAGAGGCGCCCCCAGCCCCACCGCACCTGCTGGGGGAGGGCTCGCAGCAGCTTTGTCTCGCCGAGGCTAAGGGGCGGAGGGCAAGGGCAAGAAATGCGAGGACGTGTGGTGTCACTTTCCACGAGTGCTCCCCAAAGATCGCAGCAATCCCGGCAGGTCTCTTGGGGCCGGTACTGAAAAGGGGTCGCACAGTCTGCGCCGGGGGAGCCCCAGAGGCGGACCAACCCCCGCCCCGATCTCCCAAGGCCGGGAACGATGTCTCTGCCTCGAGGGCTCGCGGACCCGAGAGAGGAGTGGAGGATGCGTTACTGAGCGTAGTGCCCCGGGTTAGGGAACCTAGCTGCAGGTATTCCCGCAGCGAGGCCGCACTCACCGACGCGCGGGGCCGAGCTGGCTCTTGAAAGCCGCTGTCAATTCGTGACCCGGAAGCAGAAGTTGTCTCCAGCTGGCCCCCTCCTGTTTACAGGCTGCGAAGCGCGACTAGAAAGGGCGCCTGCGCACTGACCAGTGTCCCTAGGCGGGACGCGCCTGCGCAGACTCGTGAAGCAGCCTCCGTCCTACCAATTAACCGGGTACTTTCTCGTCTCGTCCGGAGGCTTTGAGCGCAGGCGCAATGTGGTGCTCTCGGCCGCTGTGGAGCTCCACAGTGAGCTACAATGGGCAAAAAGCTCACCGGCCGGCCTGTTGGACCGAGTCTGTGGGGCTGCGCCTGCGTGCACCAGGCCTGCAGTGGGGCCGTCCCTGCCCTCCGCTGCTTCCCGCTGTGTGCATATGAGATCTGGCCTGGGCACCTTATTCTCAGATTATTCCCAAATTCGCTACACAGGTTCAGTTGCTTAGGAGACTAAACTGTTAGATGTGCCTTTGGCAAATAACGCAGACTTCCAGCGTTATTCATAATATTGGAACGCATCTATGCTTCTTGGAACACTTCTGGATATTGTCCGCCCTTCCTCAAAGGGAACTATACCAAAGATAACCACCCAAGAGGTGTACAGACACAAATGTTGAGGCCTGAAAAAGATGCACATGCTAACAATATCCCTTCCCACCCAGAGAGATGCTGACACCTCTGAGAGATGTGCTTTCCATTCCAAGCAAAAACATTTCGAAGCCAGCAGCACGTAGTGGTGCATGCAAAGAGTGAAGCAGCCCACAAAGGCAGACTGTAAGTGTGGTGCTTTACCCGGCAGCCTGTTTAACCGCTGAGTGCGCCAGCGACCACTCCCCAAGGCTTGCTCTAAGCAACAAAATCTAACCAGTTTGAGAGTAAAGCAGGGCCCAGGTAGTTCACGTACATCAGTGAGGAGATGGCTCATGCTCTGTCTGTGGAGTGAGCCTCCTCTGAGCTCCAAGGGCAAAGGATTTTTGCCATGCAGGAACATGTCCTCCCACCTCCCACCACTCTGCTGTTGGGGAGGTTGTCCAATTTTTCAAAAGAAGCTAAAAACCAGATATTTTAAAAAAGTGAATTCTCCCAAATTGCAAATGTTGGCAACATTTTTTTTTTAAGAATCATTTTTAAAAGCAGGCAACATTCAGACTGCAAACCATCAATTCCAGACTCTGGATTAAAGGCTGCTTTGGTCATTGGCAGCTCTGTGGAAGAGGGGCTTAGCGGCAGCGGGCTAACTGGGAGAGGGTCCTGGGAGTTGACTTGAAGCTGTAGCTACATATTAACTACATTGTTTTTAATTCATAGATTTACTTGGGAAAGCTTGAAGGAACCTGCATGAGATTGTATGGAGGCTAGAGTTCCCCATCCCCAACTACTCGAACTACTCTAAGGCATTTGACCAAATTCAGTGAATGGAAACAGTTTGATTCTGCGCCCATTGCTTCTAAACCAAAAATCTGTATCAGGGCTCTAAAGGACATTAAACCTCCAAACACAGAGGCAAGAGATACTTGTGTTCGTGCTGATCCAAAATGGGGGAGTTCGTTCTGTGAACCTAAGTCCTTCCCGGTCACCAGCAGGGAAGATCATAGGAAAAGTCAAGCCACCCACATGCCTCATCCAGACCTAACCTCATTTCAGTCAGTACCTCTCAAACTCCCATGCCTGTGTCTAGGACTGTGTGACTCACATTAGTAGTCCAATGGTATATTCTCCCCAGACCCTTGTGGATCCTACTTGGCTGGGGAATTAAGGAGAGGAGAGGCAGAAATGTAATAAATTCCATTCCATGATGCCCTGGGCCCGGGCCTGCTAAGCCTCCCTCTCTCTGGATCAAGGAAGGAGATGCTCCACTTGGCACCACCCATGGCTTTCTCCAAGTGGAGCATAAGCTTCACACAACTGACCTGTTGAGGGGTTGGCGACTGCTTCTTTGGCTTTCATCTTACTAAGTCTAGCTCTCTGGGCCCACCACTGTGTCTCAGAGAATCCACTGCAGAAAAGAAGGCAGTCCCCACCACTGATCATATCAGCAGGAATGATAAAGTCAAAGGACCCAGCAAATGAAAGTACTAGACATTAAGAGTGGTATCCATCCCTTCTCTGATGTTCCACAACTTGGCAGCTCTTGTTCAATGTCATGTGCCAACCAGGGTGGTAGAAAGAGAAACCAGAGTACCGAAGACCTAGGTTTTTGTTCTGGCTCTGAGATTGATAGTTATTTCATTCAATTTCTTTGGGCATCAGTTTTCTCACTTGTAAAGTAAGAGCATTGGCTGAAATAATCTCCAAATATCCTTCTATTTCTATAAATTCTGAATCTACCTAATTCCTAAGCAAAAATTTCTGCTTCTACAATTTTTACTCCCTAATCCAAATAAAAACAGCTTTTTGGCTATCATAATACTGCTATGTTAATGGGACCTGTGAAGGCCCCATTATAATTCAATTAATTATAAAATGGCAAAGTCTACATAGTTTCTGTTCCTTTTTTGCTTCTGGCACTTCTTTTCTAAAGCAGGGTAAAGACAGCACTTGTTCCCAGCTTCAATTTTTTAATGTTATTTGTATTATAAAAATGTTCAAGTATACCAAAAAACTAGACAGAATAGTGTGTTGAACTCCTTATACCCATCACCTATATTTAACACATTAGCATTTTGCCAATTATTTTACATCTAATTTTTTGTTTCTTTGCTGTTTTGTCCAGCTTTAGGGTTTGGAAATAAACTACTCAGACAATATTCACAGTTCTTGCAGCTTTTGGGGAAATTTTTTCCAAGAAAGTTTGATTTGACATCCCATAAGTTTTCTAAAAACCTGAACTATCTCATGTTTATTTATCCATTTCTTCCTTGAAAAAAGATGAATTTTTTTCCCTGTGTTGTCTCATCTCTTAAAATTTCTTGGTTGGTAAATGCTAAGGTGTATAAATTCTGGGAAACTCCCAGCATCTTATGAATATAAGAATGATTAGCCTTGCAGTGAGTGATAAAATAGGCCATCCATAAAGATTCTTTTATAGTGTCTCTGAGAAGCCACTGCACAACCAAAGGAGGTTTCAGATTCTTTCATTCACACATCCATCAAACATTTACTGGGCCTGCTTTGCTCCAGGCTCTGTGCTTAGCAGTACAGGGAAGATAGAGATGGAGAGACACATTCCCTTATTGTCAAGGGTTAGGAGACAGATTTGTAAATAGTTGATTTCAATTAATGATCATTATTTCAATAAAGTTTTTATGTAGTAAGTCAATGTTGAAGAACAGTTGTATTTTACAGTGAGATCAAGAGAGTGTAGAAAGAAACAGTCTGTGAAGAGGTTTCTTGCAGAGAAATTTGTTTGTGCTGTTAAGTTCCCACCCTTTTTCCACTCAGAGCGAGAGGTAGTGCTGGTGCTGCATCCCTCTTCTCAAGCCTAAAGAGGGGCTTCTGTGGGACCAGAGAACTTGGACGCTGTTTCCCATAGTTGTAAAAGACAGAGAACTGCACTGACTCTTGCCTGTAAATTAAAGAGGGCGGTAGCTACAAGGCAGGGGTGGCTGCGCTGGGATCCGCCAGCACTCCTAGATTCGGTAGGGATGATGAATGCGTAAATGTTTCCCTGGACAGATATGGGCCATGTAAATGACAGTCAGCATGGGGTTACCTTTGCTCTATTCAAAAGGGCTGTCCAGAGGTGTGGAGGGACCCAGTGACCAGAAGCTAGAGATGAACACAGGAATCCCAGAACCCACAAAAGTTGTTGCAGGCAACCACCTGCATCTGTCTAGGCCAAAGGGACTCAAGTGAGAGGTATCTAATGATGGGAATCTCCAAAGAACCTTTAAAAGCACCTTACAAGAAAAAGAGTCAACTTTAACCATCTGCTAGACCCAGGTAGTACAAACTCATTGTATCAAAACAGAAGTGCCCTATTCCCTTAGCCGTCCTGCCTCCTCCCACTTTTACACAGCAGATCAAATAGCAGTTACCTGGTACTTTGAGGGGAAAGCTGAAGGAAAGCAGCCACCAGCCACAGGAGGCCTTATGTGGGAAAGGGGGAGAAGGAGAAGTCTTAGACTAATACCTTAGAATGAAGACTGAAGTATTTGATTATCATCTTGAACGGGAAACATTCTAACTACAAAATCAAGACTCTCTTTTTTGGCTTAAAGTGACTGTTACTTAAAAGATTGTTAGTTATTGAAGAATGAACCAAAGAGTTAGGGAATCTGCCCAATTTTCTGTTCAGGGAAAGGGGAAGATTATCTCCTCCCAGTAAATATTTTTAAAAGATGGAAAAAGCCAAAAAATAAAGTGGTATTTTGAGCACATCCCATGAATCTTGCATTCAATATCCCAACTCCATCTCTATACATTTCAGTGTGTTATTACTGATCTTCATGTTTTGATTACAAGTGATTCCCTGAGTTGTTTTTGGTTTTTAAAATGTGTTGTGTCTCTCATAAGACTTTTATTTTTCTTCTCTCCCCTGCTAATTCTAGTTCTGCTCTCAAGAAGCGTTCATTAGATGGTGTTGATTGACAGTACAACTAGTGTTCCTATTTTCAGACCTTGGCACGAACTTGAACTAGAAATTTGATAGTGATGTTTTGCTTGTAATGATTGCTGCTATCACTGTTCAGCACATATTAGTAGCCAGTCTCTGTGGGTAGATGCCATTGAGCTGTCCTAAGTTACAGATCTGGGTGTCTTGCTCTTTTGAGCATTTTAGCTACCTCATGGTCACAGGCTTTTGTGCAATTCCTTTTTGGAGTGGAAAACTCTTTTCTTCACCTGCTGGCTCCAAACCCTTTCCTGATGTTGAGTGTGATCCTCTAGAGTGACAGTGTGCTGGAGGAGAGGAATTCTGCCTTGCAACCTCTCAAGTGGTACCATGATGCCTTTCACAATAGTTTTCTGGCTTCTGGCTAGAACTCATCAATTACTAATCCATCTAAAAAGGTCTCATCTGTCTTCAGGGGCCACATGGCTGATGTTTATAGCAGTTTTCCTGACACCCTTCCTAGAGTAATAAGTGATTCCTTCCAGATAAGCTCTTCTCCCATCACCAAAGAAAAAGAAAAGAACCAAAAGGAAGTTTAAGGTACCCTAAGAGTGAAGGAGAGAGA